CTGCGCTCTGCGCAAAGTGCCTTCGTGTCCCTTCCAGTGGAGGTGATGCCTCGCTGAAGGGAGAAACGCGCCGAATTCCCTGTCAGATTAGAGAGGATGTGGCCGCGGTCGGGAGTGAGCGTGCTCCCGTCCGCTCTGCGGGCAGGCACTCGGTGCAGATGTGCTGAAAGGGGAGGCCTGGGTCTCCCCCTTCCCTGGCACGAACCAGACTGTCGGGAAAAAAGCCTGAGCTGTGAACGTGCCCGTGTGCGCTGGCACGGCGTGGCCAGGCTGCCTTCGGGAACCCCGTTGCCACGGCACGCTGCGGGCGTTCTCACACGCGTCTCAGGGTACGTGGTTCTGAAACCGGGGGTCTGAAACATCTTCCATAAAAGTGGAGGGGATTAATGCTGCGTGCGTTTGCTTCACGCCTACGAGTGTGCATTTTTCATTGTTTCCAGGTTCAAAATTGGTAGTATTCCTTATGTCTGTATGTGAAAAGGCTTAATCGTGGAAGCTGCTCAGCAGCTGAGGCCCAACCATAAGCTGCCTGCAGTCATGGCTTCACGGTTTCCTCAGCAGGTTACAGAACAGCTCTGAAAGTCCATGATTTTTAGGTGGAGATGTCGTTTCTGTCAGTGTCTGGGGATTTGATCTATATAGTTAGTGCTTAATGTTCTGCTTTATGACCTGAACATAACCTTACTTTACATCCTCAAGGAACTTATATTTTTACTGACTCCATTAGGGCTACTGATAAAACTTAGAGGTTTTAGGGTATTGGACATAAGAAAGACAGGAGAGGAAGGCAGGGTAGAAAAGCACCATCTTGAAAGGAAAAATTTAGGAATTGCAGTGAAATCTGAAAAATTTCTTTATGGTATGTTACCATCTTGATATGAGGTGTGATTCTGAAGCTGAAAATGAATCTATAGCCACTGTGTAATTTGCACACAAGAATTATTACTGTTCCTTTGCGCTACTGTCAGGGGACACTCACTAGAGCTCGCTTATTTGGCACTTCTGTCAAGCCAGCTGAATCATAGACAAAAAGAGCACTCTGTGCAGTTTGAGATGGGGCCATGGCTCTTCTAGGGACATGCTTCTTCTCCTGTTGGTGACAGTGACGCGAGAAAGGGCTTGTCACTGGGCCCAGGTAAAAGAGAATCCAACTCTATATCCATGAGTGATAAGAAACTGCCAAAAAGAAAAATTCCTATGGGTTGCAGCCACGTAGAAGCTACAGCAAATGTGAAGCATTTCCTAGAATGTGCTCGGTCCCTGACAAAGGGAGCCCTATAGAGGAAAATGCCACATGTTGTAATGTCCAGATCACATGTCGGGGAATGTGATGAATCCTGGCGGTCTTTAGTGGTGGATACTGAACATGCTGTTTTTAGCAGAGGATTAAATAGAGTTTGAACCAGAACAAATTGATTGTTTTATTTCAATCCTCATTTTCATTCTGTGAGGTACTGAGCATTTCTCAAAAAGTGGAGAGCTGCTGCAGCTTTTGCTATCTGCAGTGGCACATGAGAGAAACTCAGGGTCTTTTTGGGAAGGGTGATGAGCGAGCCTCCTGCCTCCTTATGGTTGCAGTCCTTTGAAATAATTGTAAAGGCATTGATAACATTCCAGCTTCTTTGTTATAGAGCTTGAGCACCTACATGTTATGCTAACGGTTACAACAGAGGTGTTTTCTTCTTAGTAACATGCCCTTTCTTCTACTGTGTATTAAAAGGCAGCACTGTTTATTTTTCTATGTGTGGTGTTTTAAGCTGTACAGTGAAAGAAGCGGAGCCTTGTGTCAGTCTTGGCAGGAAACAGGAGGCTGACTCTGCTGAGTCTGAGTGGGAATCCTCGCTCACTGTGAGCATCCACACTTGATTTCCAGGGCAACAACAGGAACAACGATATTCTGTGTGATTAAATCTTGCAGAATCAGGACATGATTTATCATCATCTATTGTTAAAAAACAATGGAGAGATTCAGAAACACACATATGCATAGAGGTATACTTTTCTTTTTTCACAACAGGCTAAAAAGTTGTTATTCCTGAACATAATCTGTTCCTACAAGATATCCTGAGTGTCATGTGGTTTTGTTTTTTTTTTCAATATATACTGCGGCTCACGGGTTTACAATCTTTAGAGCGCTCAGGCTTCTAGAAGCCTGGTGAATATGCAGGGATGATACCTGGATTATCTAGGGAGCGGCTGTGGAAACAAAAAATTGTTTCTGTTCGCTCAGTGAGCAAGTTGATGACAAAACAAATCAGGAAAGTGTCAGCAGAGCATCAATGAAGACTCTTTGTACCGAGTAAAGAGGGTTTGTACTGAGTAAATCAAACACTGCACACACACAGGTAGATTGCATAATTACACATATTGCATGGCCGAGCAGCACTGTGTGAATGCGTTTCCTCATATGCAAGCATATGAATCAACTTTAATTTTAGAAAATCAGCTGGTTTTTAAAAATCAATTTGTAGTATATGTGCAGTATTTGAAAAAAAAAAGGCGTGAGAGAAACAGGAAAATTTTAGAAATGTTCTATAGACTTTCAAAGCAACTGGAACAAATCCTTAGTGAACAAAGCAACTGGAACAAATCGTTAAGGCCTCATCTTTTGCTAGGATAAATATACGTTATGAGGATTCTTTTTTAAAGTCCTGATACTGGACTGGAAACCAGAATGGCTCCATAAGAGACAGTCTCGTTTCTTGCATAAGCATACAGAGTGTTTTGGCACATCTTGGAAACCTGGATTAGTCACTTAGAAGATGCAGACTGAGCCTTTGCTGAGCTCTTCGCACGGATGTTCTAAGTGTCAGAAGCATGAGACTGCCTCACGTTTCTAATCCTACAGTAAATACTTTGAGAATTTGCTGCCTTCTCTGCAAACTCGAACATCACACTACCTGTGCTTCCTTTGTGGTTCATGCCAAACAGAGTTTGGCCTAATATTTTGCAGGGTCTCTTTTTTTTTTTTTTTTTAGGGCAGCAATTTCTTTAGGCTGATACTGCACCCACATGGGAGGTTAGAGTCTGAAGTTGCTAGTGGAAAAGAATCCCTTGACTAAAGAGAAGCAAACCCTGAAGATGATGATATTTGAACTTTAACAAGCAGTTTTATACTGAGGCAGCTGTTCCATGCAGGTGATTACACTTTGAGTCAACGAGGACTAGGTGCTTAAGACAGAGGAAGACTCTAATGAGACTGCATCAGTGGTTAGGTATAGAAGTAGCTATATGAACTTAGACTGGAAGTGATCAAAACATTTTGAAGTAGCTTTGATTACATGAGGAAATAGAGTTTTGTCCCTGTGCTTGCCAAAAATTGGCAAAGTTGACAGAAGATGGTGGACAGCAAGGCGGGATAAAGCAAGGAGAAGGAGGTTGTAGGAAGTTGATGATGCACCAGGGGAAGACAGAGGACAGTTGATAGTAAAGCACAGATTATTTCTGGGACAAACTAAACAATATTTTGTTTTAATTCAAGTGCAGAATACTGACCACTCCTGAGAGAGGAAATAGGCTCTTGTTTTGGGTATCTGATGTTCTACTGAACAAATACCCAATGGATTCTGATCTCTTGAGGATTTTTATGTTACCACAACTAAACTCACTTTGAGCACAACTTTGTATTCTTTAATATAAATTAAATATATTTAGAACTGTTTGTGCCAAAAGCAGTTCCTCCACTGTTAATACTGAGCCACTCGTTTAGACGTGCTGATGCTTCTGGGTCATTTGTCACCTTGATTTCAGTGGTACAAGATCAGTTCCCTCTATTATCACTTCACTTTGAATGTGAAAATGAAACATTCTGAAACTTTAGGATTTCCTAGGTGACTTTTTTTCTGTTGATGTGACGACTCCTTTTTTTTTTTTTAATAAGCTACTAGGATTTTTTATAGTGGTTATTTTTCAGTGTTTAGTTTTGTGAAGAAATCCTCAAAGTAAGGCTTACTAATTGGCTGGTTATGTGTGTTACAGATATAGGCTCTGAAAATTATGTTTGTGTCAAATGTAGGAGAGAGAGAGGGATGAAAACACAGATCTGATGGCAACAAAATGATCTGCAAATTTGCGACATTTTCATCAAATTCTTCATGCTAAACAAAAGGAAACAGAAATACTGAAAAAAATGAAGGCATTTTGGAAATAAAGTACATTGTGTTTATTCAAAACGGTGTTTAATTTACAAGTTTTTTTTCAATGTTAATGATTTTGTTGTTCATCATTTTCTCCACAAATATCTTTAAAAAAACTTCAAATAGAATGAAAATGTTTACTTGTAGTTGTGATTTTCTAGAAAATGACATACTTTGGACTTTTCAGTTTCAAGCCAGAACAAAGCGTTGTGAGCCAGTGAGGCAGGAGCATGAGGCAAGCAGCTCGGTTGTGACTTGGAGCATTTGCAGGACCCCACGGGTGTGACTTCGGTTGATTTTACGAGGTGCAACTCAGCGACATTAATCCTTGGACCTGTCACATTATCCAAGATGCCATTTGGCACAGTGAGGAGGTGGGTTGAGTGGGTCAGTGCTGGCACTGAGCCTAAATAAGCTGCTTGACTTCCCAAATTGCAGCTCATGTACTGGCCCCCCCCAAAAGTTGCCCGGTGTTAGGCTCTTAGTTTCTCACACTTAAGGCCTCCAGTGCTGGAGCTGTTTCCTCCTGCAAAAACATAATTGAAGAGTGACTAAAAGAGAAGTTAAAACCATGCCTCTGCTGTATATTAATGAATAATACTGTATATTAATGTTTATTAATGGAAATCCAAGAGCTGTCCTCTAATGCAGAAACCATACCTAGGTTTTTTCCTGTCATTGAGGTGCTCCCTCATTCAATTATAGCACCAGCCATGTGAGCTAATACTTTCTGTGATAAGAAATTTTTAGTATATTTAAAATGACAGTAATTTAAATGATGCTGCAGCCATTCCAGAGAACTGCAAGCAAGTGCTGCTCTTTGGAAGAGAAATCTAATACTTACTGTGATAAGAAATTGTGGTAAGTAAAGCCGACAAATTCACAGGGGGGAAAAAACAGTTGCATGTAATGTTTGTATTGTACTGTTGCACAAACCTCATTTTTTAGTATATTTAAAATGACAGTAATTTAAATGATGCTGCAGCCATTCCAGAGAACTGCAAGCAAGTGCTGCTCTTTGGAAGAGAAATGGCAGCAGCAAGAAGAAACACATGCGTAGGAGGCTGCTGTGATTTCAACCCAGCGTGGGCAGGAAGCTGCTGTGCTGCTGTAGCGTGGCAGTCCAGGGTGGGGGATACCACTCAATAGCACCTGTGGACCTTGTGGGCTGCCCCACCTTTATGGTGAACACA